ACTTTTTGCTTTTTTATTGTAAAATGAAAATCCTCTTTGGGTATCTTTTGGTTAGTGAAAACAAGTACTACTGCAGATCTCTCATAAAAGTGAAGTGGCATAAAGCAAACATTCAAAAAGCAGGGGCTACCTGTATGTCTTCTCTTACTGTAAAATTTGTAATTATCCAATGAGATGTCTATTTCTAATTATAGCATATTCTAGAAATACTCAGGACAGTTTATCAAACCGTTTCCACTCAAGTGAAGAATTTTCACATGGAAAATTATCACTAAACATACCCCAACCATGACATTTTCCACCATCTCTTATCCTTTCTCAATACTTAACCTTATCAAAACCTTCAGTCTGTTGATCCTGTTCACCTGGTAAGTTATTCATCTCCATCCTAATTTCTCTCTGTACTTAGCTTAGAGTACATAGTTGTCTTAGTTACCCAGTGCTGCTATGACAGAAATACCACAAGTGGATGGCTTTAACAAACAGAAATTTATCCTCTCTCAGTTAAGGAGGCTGGAAGCCCAAATTCTGAGTGCTAGCTCTGGGGGAAGAGTTTCTTTGTTGTTGGTTATGGAGGAAAGTCTTTGTCTCCTCTCAACATCTGTGGGTCCAGGATTCATTGGAGAGCTCCATGTGTCTTTGCATCAGTTTTCCCTGGGCCTAGCAGGGTCTCAGTACAGGGACCTCTGATCCAAAGGACACACTCAGCTCCCAGCTCTTCTTCCCTGGTGGAAGTCCCTCTGATCTCTGCTCACTTGTTTAATCTTTTATATCTCAAAAGAGATTGATGGAAGATGCAGCCTAATACTTTAGATTGTATCTTGTCTCATTAACATAACTGCCTCTAATCCTGCCTCATAAACATCATAGTGGTTAGGATTCACAACACATAGGATAATTACATCAGATCACATCATAATGGATGCTTGCATCATTACATAACTGTCAGACTACATCACCATTGACAAATCACTGAGAATCATGGCCCAGCCAAGTTGACATATATTTTAGGGGGACATAATTCAATTATTATTTTATGAATAATTCAATTCATTATTATAACTTCTCTTAACCCTCCATTGTATTTGCCTGTTGTTGTTATGTGCCGTCGAGTCGGACCCGACTCATTGCGACCTCTCCTTGGGTTTCCGAGGTGGTATCACTATGGAAGTAGATTGCCCAGCCTTCCTTGCAAGGAGTGGCTGGTGGGTTTGAACTGCCAGCCTTCCGGTTAGCAGTCAAGTGCCTTAGGCACTACGCTACCAGAGCTCCTTTGTATTTGCCTGGCAAAATAAAAATACACAGCCCAGCTACCCTTGAAAAAATGAAGTACTGTAGATAGGATGGGGACTACTTGGAATTTAGCCTTGGGACAAATCTTAGAAAGGGACGGAATCTATTACTTTCTGTTTCTCTGACTTGGAATAGTAAGACTGTCCATCATGATCAGAGAATAGTGTGCTTGATATTGGAGGCACCTTTCCCTAAATAGGAGCTCTGGTAGCATAGTGCCGAAGGCATTTGACTGGTAACCAGAGGGCTGGCGGTTCAAACCCACCAGCTACTCCTTGGAAGGAAGGTTGGGCAATCTACTTCCGTAGTGATATCGCCTGGGAAACCCAAGGAGGGGTTGCTATGAGTCGGGTCTGACTCGACGGCACATGTTGTTGTTAAGTGCTGTCGAGTCCTTTCCGACTCATAGCGACCCCGTGCACAGCAGAACGAAACACTGCCCGATCCTGCGCCAGCCCCACAATCCCTGCTATACTTGAGCCCATCATCGCAGCCACC